AATATTATTGACAATTTTAATAAATGATAAATCGCTGCAAATAATAATGATAATCTTTTTAATTTTTGTAGTAATTTGTATTTTTTGTAATTGAATTTTACATAATTTTCTATATATGACATTGTAAATTGAATCCCAATTCAGCCACTGGCTGCTTCGGATTGTATATATCTTTGTCTTATCTATTTTGTTTTTATGAATAAAGATACCGAAATATCATAGAAAGCAAGTAATATAAACTATTTAGCAACTAATACTGTACCATTTATTTAATAGTCATACCTGTATATCTAAGAACAAGAAAAATGGCTGCATTTCCGTATATGATTGTGAATTTCAGCTATTTTGCTGTAGATCACTGAAATGAAACCAAAATGATATTTAAACAATTGACATTTCATTATTACTGTACAGTATGCCAGGGGAGGTATTTAAGATACTGTATTTACTCAGTTTAAAGTCCAAATTTAATGACAATACAATAAAAAAAAAACTACATGTTTGTTTCTATTGATTTTAAGTTCTTTTTTTTTTTATTGTATTCATAGCAAATATTAAATGTTGTTTTGTAGTTGATATCATTAGCCCACAGCTTCCTCTAGGATGTAGGCCAGCTAGTTCTTTTCCTGTGTCGTTATAACTCATAGAGAAGGAGGAAGTTTGCGCCATGTCTGTAGTAATAAGTTCAACACTGCCTCCAACATTTGAAGGCGCTGGTAATCTGTGTTAGGCATGCTTTGCTGCACATGTAGACTAAGGAAATGTTCAATGAAAATATAAATATTCACCCTAAAATTTGGTAAATTTGAGAACAAGATATGTCTTGCCTTTAAATTTAAGCTATAGTACAAGGCTAAGATAATTTGAGACTAACTGTGAGACTATATATTTCAATTTTCTTAGAAGCCTCTACGAAAAACTAAAAGAAATTAAATGAACATTTATAAAAAAAAAAAGCACTTTCAAAATCTGAATTGATATCAAAAGGTTTGATATACTATTTTGTAGTGTTGCCTGCAGTCAAATGGTTAAAAAATAACTAACTTGGCCTAATAAAACAGATGTAGAGGCCATGGACATGTGTAAGCGTTTACATTAGTTTTAACCTAGAGTACTGCTAAGCATAGTTACATTTCAGTACCAGTTTTTAGGAGTTTATTCTTTAGTTTTAGTTATAAAATCCTGTAGTGGCCTTCTCCTTGAATGAACACTATTATAGTATTAATAATAAATACTATTACAGTACTTTCAAGGTTAAAGGTTAATCTTATCCAGGGTTGATCAGAGAAAAGAAATGTGGGTGTTACAGTACTTGTAATGGATGACAAGTTATTAGGCCAAATAAAAAAAATTACTAGTTTCTCAACCCCTCACACATCAATTTCACCAAATTTAAAAAAAAAATTTTTTATTTCCTTTATTTTATGAAATGTACGAAAATCTGGCTAACTCACATCAGTAAAATTCCTCTCGATTGTTCGTGGTTGGGGATACATATGGTATGAATCATGTCTAGTGCTTCTTTTATTTGCTTTCAATGTGTGTACTTGGTAAAGTGAGAAAGAGTAGCTGTTTCCCATCAACCATCTTGGATTTGCCATCTCGGAGTAAAACAAAAAAGAGTGCTCTCATTCTCTCTTTTTCAAAATATTAGGACGAGAAACTGCTCTTTTTTTTTTACTTGGCCTTAAATGCATCTTTCCAAAAATATAAAGTTGAAAAGTAAATTCTGCCCCCTATAAATAACTACTCCATTTATTAGACTCCAATTCCAGATTTGTATCAATTATGCATGAAATTGTTATGTGACATGCTGTGTTTGACCTGCTTTTATTGTCACTTTTATGAATAATTTGGTTTAATGGTTGATTGGAATATCTGTGATAACAAAAAAATACAACTTAATTCTTCAAAGAGAATTTATATGAACATCAAATCTATAAAAATTGAATCCATGTCACCGACATGTTTTTTTTTTCTTTTATTAGAATTTATATTTATTTATTTTTTGATTGAGGTGGTGGGAATGTATTTGTGGTGATATTTGCAAGTTATGTCTTACAGTGAACACACCTCATAAATAATAGAATAAACCAAATCAAACACCAACTTTCTTTTTGTATCTGTTAAATTATTACCACCAGCCCAATTAATGAGTGACTATCGATTTTGCTTAATTTAATCTTTAAATTAATTATCAAGCATTTAGCTTTTTTCGTTATCTATTGTAACATTGATTTATTGAAGTCCTGCTCAGCGTGGACTTGCATTGCATCATAAATTGTGTGATACTTTACCATCCTGGATCAATAGCAGTTAACAAGCTTTCTATAGAAGATTTATGCTTTGTATATGTGTACAATATTCTGTATTCACAAAGTTAAACATGGATTTATCAACTGGAAATCCATTCCATATATTATAACTTACTGTATAGTAAAGCCTGGATGATGTACTGTACAATTACAGTAGCTAATGTGACTTTATTTTTATAATTTTTTAAATTGTTTGCTTTTTATAAACTGTCTTGTGTGAAGTTCTATACTTGAACTACCAAATTCAATATTGAAGTCACTTGTTACAGTATGCAATAAATCTTCATTAGGCAAGACCTTTTGTATACCTTGTTTCGCGAACTTGTTTTTTTAAATATCGTCAGAGGAGAGCGGAAACAAAAAAATTACCAATAATTTTGTTTTCTTATTTAGCAAATAGTTTTGCCAATAACATTCAGATGGAGGAGAAAATTAAAATAAGATTTTATTGGTGAATGATATAAGCAGTGTAGTAATACTGTAGGATTGTTAAATGCTTTAAATTTAAATAATTAGGAAGAACATCTTATTGATGGAGATTTCAAGTAGCGGCAGACATAATGAAGATAAAGAAAAACTTATATTTTTTTCTGAAATTTCTATTTTTTCACGGACACAGGTGCCAATTGGCCAAAAATAAAATTTAATTTTTGTTCGATATCATAATTATTGGCAGACGGCAGGTTCGTTAAAGTAAATTAAAAAATTCTTGCTTAAAAGGGGCTAAGGGAGTGGAATTTTAGTTGCTAGAAAAACTTCTTTTGTAGTATATCAACCACAAATCCTTGGCATTGGAACATACAGAAATTCCAACCATCTACAAGCCTCGTTTATACTTGATTTATCAAAAAAATTTCTTATTGTGTTAACGTCTCTCACCTCTGGCCACTTTACAGAGAACTTGCTCAGGAGAACTAATTAATTGTTTGCTTGTTTAACGAGTAGAATTGAATTAATAATTATTGGTTGAACCTGAAGTGGCTTTTGAATCAATTATCTATAAAAACATAATACATAAACGTAAATTAAAAATCATTGTACTATATAAAATATTTGATATATTTATTTCATCATCATAGTACTGTATCATCATGCTCATTATTACTCATCATCACTTCTATTCATCAATCATTCCTCCTGATCATTCATCGTGATATCATCATCTCATCATTTACTATTATTCATCATTTTTCAGATCATTTATCTACATTATCATTATTATCACCATCCTCATAATATTCATCATCACTTTCTATACTATTCATCATTCCTCCTGATATTCATCATGGTCATTCTTCATCATTATCCACATGTCATTCCCATTATCATCATCTTATTATCATCAATGTTATTATCATCCTCATCAATGTCATCATAATAACATCAACATTAGTTGGCTAGGTATAAGTTTTTCTACTGGGCAAAGGCTTCTCGCAAACCATGTGTAGTCTATTCAATGCTTATAACCTGTGTTCTTACCAGCTTATCTCCATCTTGCCTGTGGTCCTCCCTCTTCCTATCGCCAAAGTGATTACCCGATAATTACTATTTTTGGTACCTATTTTACACCCAGCCATCTGTTTCTGTAGATTTTAAACCAAATATGTACATTGTCCATGATGCATGAGTGATGGCGCAATGTGGTCTTGTCCGGTCCACGGCCCTAACACACTAAACCGCAAGCAATTAAAGAGAAATTCTCTTCTCATGCCTCGTTCAACAAATACAAAAAACAGGAAAATAATATCATAAATGTTTTATCAATTACCAGTATTTTGGTTTGCTTTGCTCCGTGTGCGTTTGTGTAGAACAAAAAATTTCTGCAACTGTGTCACTTGTGGGCCAGCGTTTATAAAGTATGTTTAGTAATAAGCAATATTATGTTTATGAACGTTCAGATGATTCAGATTTATTTGAAGTGGATTCACTTGAGAACACTTCTCAACTAGAATCACTGGTTTACGAAGGTAATTTGTTTTAATTTTATTCAACGTCTGTACATTTTTTTCCTTTTAAATTTTATTTCAACTGATAATAATTCTCAATTAGAATCATTTGTCTACAGTATGAAGGTAATTTGTTTTTAATTTTCTTTATTACAGCAGCATTTATTTTCATTTTTAACTATTTACAATTGATTCTTTATCTAAAATTCAGAGAAAATAGCCTACGGTGTACAACCTGAATTTAGATTAAATGTACAGTATTTTTATCATCACCATCATTACTATCATTATCATATTTATATCATCAATACAGTATCATGTTCAGTATCATCATCATCATTATTATTATTATCACTATCATCATTATTATCACTACCATCAATATCATCATCATCACTATCATTAATTTCATCATTATCTTTGTTATCATCATCAATATCATCTTTAGTATCATCTTCACCACTATCACTACTAGATCATCAATTTCATCATCATCAACTTATCTTCATTGGCATTGAATTAATCATCATCGTCGTCGTCATCCTCATCCTCATATCAATACAATGTCAAACCTTGACATAATCTATTGTCACCATTATTCATAGTCTCTATCATAATCATCATTGTGTCACTTATCATAAACATTAGCATTTATTGACATCATCAGTAATTTACAATCATGTAAAACACAATGTACTGTATAGTGTTATGAAATTCCGTCGACCTTTGACTATTCTAGATGACCTGTTGTACACTACAAATGACTATGGGCTTGACGTTCTTGAAAGGGTCACAGAACTTGAGAAGAAGGTTAAAGAGCAAGGTGATGAGTTGATGTGCATGAGAACTGCCATGGCCGATGTCGTCCGTCGCCTAGGTGAGGTGGAAAGCAAAAAGGAGACGAGGAAAAACACACCAAGAGGTAGGTATAGAGAGATGGATAGTTAGAATTATAAAAACATCATCTCAACAATTCTGTTTTAAAATACACAGTAGGTAACCTGTAAGCTGAAATGTAATCCAAAAATAATCCAATAATCCAGTCTCACTAAAAATATTAAAGCATCGAAGAAAAGAACAATGAAATTTGTGAAGTACTGTAAATTTATATCTCACCAAAACTACAAAATTGGTAAATTGAAATGACAAATTTTGTATTTAATATAAATTATGACTTTAATGTAACATGAATGAAAGCAATTATATAGTTAATCATGCAATGGTGATTTTTAGTATGATTGAATGTTTCTTCTCAAAATTTTAAAGCTTATTTTTCATGTTCTTTTAGAAGACATAGGAAAACAATATTTGTTGTTATCCAGTTATGTGATGTTATGTTATTTTAATATGTTTTGAGTTCACTGCTAATCTATCACATTGCACCTTTGTTCTGCATGCAGTTGTAAAACATTTTATTACATAAATTAATTGAAATTAATAATTATTTATTAACTGATGTGTTATAATCTTACTAATACTATAAAATATGCTGATCAACATTCATACTAAAATCCAATTAAATGTCGCATACTGACAAGGCTACAAAAAATAGTCACTATGAATATTCATTAGAGAAATATGCATAGTCATGACACATCAACCCTGGGTTATATATTATATGTGCATTCATTTTATGTGTTTTGTTTAAAATTGCTTCCATAGTAATTTTACTTTACATGTGGACTTTTGATGTGTTTGTGAAAATGTTGTATTAACATCCATAAGTATTAAATTCCCATTAGAGGTTTTTTTTTTTTTTTTTTAA